AGGACACATATCTTAATTATATTATTTTCAAAATCAAAAATGATTCAAAACACAGTTCTGCAGGTTAAGTATTCTATTTTCTTTTGGGTTTAGATTAAAGAGTCATGGCACACTTTGCAACGTAAAGCCCAGGGATAAAACACATCAAGAGCCAAGCAAATGGCGGTGATCCAGGGGATTTAACAGATAATCCATGTGAGTTACACTGAGATGCTGTTGTCTCTTATTCTGATTTTATGTACAGAACCTTGCCTGGCTGTATCTCTGAACATATTGACTTTTACGTAAAGTTGTGTGATTCTCTCACTGAATGTCCTTTCTCCAGACTGTTACATATACAAATTGAAAATATTATCTTCTCGTGTTCAAACTAGTGTGTTTATTTGTATATTTTTTTCCAAAATTAAATGAGTAAAATAAAGCCACATTTTCAGTTGTTTCTGAAATACAGTATTTGGAATCCTCTCAGTGTTCTTCAGGGTCAGAAAATTAATCATCTGTCTTCTGTGGTGTTTGTTTCATCTGCGTCCATTTTGTACTGTACTTTTGTACCAGTACAATAATTGATTGGTTTTAGGACTGTGCACATTTTACTCTGCTTCTGAGACACAATGTCTATAAAGTTTGTGAAGCAGCAATAGATATTTGTCACTTCATTATATTGGTTTTTTGAACCCCTTGACTCAGTATTTCACATACAAAGAAATACATGTTGCTGTACATAAACTAATCAATATATTTAAAATCAAGTACAAAATCATGGAAATACCATCAGTAGAAAAATTTATTGATCTCACACTGCATTGGGATGAAAGTTGAGGAATGCAAGTTGTCAACAACAAAACCCATAGACAAGAAGTTTATCAGAGATCAAATTGGGTGAGTGATGATATTGCCTTCAGAATGGACTTTTTTCAAGAGGTTTAGAAAAAATGTTATCTGAAATTAAACAAATTATTGGAGAAATGTAGTACTTACGTAAATTAACCCTATACTAACCTGTAGTAATCTTTGTGTTTTGTACGCCAATTAACACTGTCATGATGCACTTCTAAGTTCTGCAGTTAGATGGCTTTGCCCATGATGAGAAGGCTCATTAAAAACACCATTATGAAAAATATCCACATAAAGAAGCGGTCTAACACTTTGGCTACTTTCTTCCACTCCCCAGTCCTTTTCTGCATGGCCCTCTGATCTCTGTAACAGTTGGCTATGTATTCAATGTTACGCAGCAGCTGCCTCTCATTGCTTTGGGTGCTGCAGGACATCTCTCTGTCTTTTCTCTCTCCATCACTCACACCTCCCTTCCTGCATCTCCTCGGACCCCCCGAATCTCCACAGTCCATGCTCATGAACATGCCGTTTTTCCAAGTGCTGTAGTGGTTGGTAGGGTTCTTCCCTAATGAGCCTATCGGACTCTTCATCTGATCCATGTCTTCGCTCTCCTCTGCGATCATGGAGCCCACAGTCTCTTGCCCTCTCTCCATTTTTAAGATGCCATCCTCCATGCCTGGTCCTGCCTGACCATTCATGGTGCAGTTGGTGTTATTTACAGTTGGAGGCTCCTGTCTCTCTGGTGGTGGTGACATACAGTTCTCTCCGACTTCATAAACAAAACACATTCTGGCCATGTGCTGCAGAATGACTTTCTTGGCCCATTTAGGAACAGGCTTGGCATCTGGGCCACAGTGGTGTATGTTCATGATGAAGATGGTCAGGGCAGTGGAGGCAGTGATCATAGTCATCGTTGCAATGTAATACTTTCCTGTGGAAGACAATAAGACATAGAGTTGTAACACACAGTCATTACACACGTTGGGATTTGACCCCATTTTATTGCCCCTACCAATAAGTGGCACATTCTCAGAGGGTGGCATAATCTCTGCAACCAACAGTTGAAAGACAGTGAGCGCCAACATCACGGTGACACCCAAAGACACCTTTTCTCCAGAGTCAGCAGGCAAGTAGAAACCCAGTGGAGCCAGGAAAGAGATCATCACACATGGTATGAGCAAGTTAAAGACATAAAAGGAAGCTCTTCTCTTCAGTTTCAGCGTGTAGGTTACATCTGGGTAAGGGTCAGCGCAGCAGCCATACAGAATGATGTTCTTCTTAGCTGGCATACCCAGCACCTCCCACTCCACATTTTCCACCAGGTCAGCCAGGTCAGCACTCTCCAAGGCATTCAGGATGTCCAGCTGGATGCCATTGTAGGTCCAGGAGCCATACGTGAACCTGCACTGCTGAGCATCGAAAGGGAAAAAAGATACATCCACTTTGCAGGAGCTCTTGGTGATAGCTGGAGAATCCCACATTATCTGGCCATCATGCCGGATCACCACATTGGTGTCCATGGAGCCAGTGAAATGGTCATCAGCACTGAAAGGCAAAGAAAACTTGTCTACAGAGAGAAATTAGAGCAGTGGTGTTCACATGTATACCAAGAGCGAATAGATGAAGAGCAAATTTTGGATACCTTTAATAAATCATTAAAGAGCAGTTGTAATTTTGTTGGGTAGGTGGAGAATGATTCGAAAAAGAAGCTTGATCGGGATACAAAGGCACAAGAATACCAACTGAGGGAAAAGACAACACATTTAGGAGAGTTGTACTCATTCCTCAGATTTTTGTCTGCATTTTATATCTGTGTGTTTGTGTTTGCATGTGTCAGCACCTTGTTTGTGGTCGTAGTATGAGCTGTTATCATTACCTATGTAATGTCAGCAGAGGCATCTCTTGGGAATCTTGTTACCTCTGATTTTAATTGTAAAATTTCAATATTTGTTATTATGTTTTTCTTGTCAGATTTATTATAAAAAGTTATATTACTGGTGTATAAAAGCAGACAGAGGCCTGGACAATCCTATAAATAATGACTTCAAGGAATGTTCAGCTTGTGCCTTTTATACTGACCAACGGGAGACAAAAAGGGATAATAATTAAATGATTAACCCAATACCAGTCCGACCTACTTGTTATATAGGACTATATCAGGTCTCCATACATAACTACTAGGTATGCGGATGGTATCAAGTCCATCGTAATCATCTTTATTCCATTTGAGGTATGCATCAACCCACACTTGCCGTATCCATAAATATGCTGTCAAAATTTGGTTTCGCTCATCCTGTAAAACATTAAAAATTATAGAAATTTACTGGCAACAACAGGGGATATATTACAATAAAATAATTTAAATATGATGAAAATATAAAGATGCCATTACTGATGTAATACTATTGTGTGGGTATCTGCACAGAATATTTTTAACCATACAATCTCGTGGTGACTTGTGTGCACTGTGGTGTTTTACCATGTCGATAATTTGTGACAGTGTAACTTGCAGGGTCACATTCAGTATGGTGTTTGTGTCCTCCACAGGCCTCAGCGCACTAGTATAGTTGGTGAATAAATCATTCAGGAGCTTCTGAGCATACTTCCCATGAGCACACCAACAGGCTAAGACAATGAGAGAAACAATTCACAGGCATATCACCACCTGTTGTGTTTCTGTTAATTATGATATAACATTTTTTCAGTCAGACAAAATTATTAAGGACATTCTGATGTTCAATTCTCTGGACAGCGATATTCAGAGCAAAAGCAGCCGTGCTAAGGTCAGAAGAAAGGGAGAACGTGGGTGGAAATGTGAATGCATGACAGATGGTGGAAGGGGATAAAGGGGATGTCAAGCATCTATAAAGCTCTGGAAGGAAATCATGAAAATCTGCTATTATGTAGCAGCGGCGACCTTCTCTGCTCCGACTATGTATGTGAGGTTTGTCATGAATGAATGATTGAATGCTTAATCCACAGAGTTACAACACGAGTATTAAAATGGACATAAACAGGGAGATTAAACATTATTGTGCTGTGAAAACATGATTGTGAAAATGTTATTCCAAATAAACCATTTCAAGATATCTTTTTTCATTCTTTATAAGGAAATTATTACTTCTACATTTATTTTAACTGGAGCTTATTTCCTGCGTCAACAATGGATTTGGGCTTGCCAGATGTTAACCCTGAAACGCTGTTTCAGTAAAGCCTCTGATACAAAGAAGGTCTATGGGATTATGATGATAGCAAATCCCTTAACAACTGGCTCCAAGTTTTGTCAATTCTGGGTTACAGCTTGCATGGAAGAGGAATGGAAATTTGAGGAGAAATGGATGATCAATAAAATATTAGAATAATGATAAATTACAAATGACAGACAATATTTTATGCAAATGTTCCTTCTTCATCCATCTTTGCTGGTAGGCTACATTGTTTGATTTGTCTCTCTAGATTTAACTTTAAATGGCCTATATCAAGTGAAGGTGTTAGATTGTAAGGAAAAATAAACGGTAACTTACTTGGCAAAATACTGGCACACAGAAGCAAGCAAAATAAAGTTTGGACTCTCCATCGTTTCATCTTGCAGAAACAAATTATCTGGATCCAAAGACCATCTGAGTTGCTCTGTAGCCTATCCAACAAGGTTCATTCACTAAAAAACATAAAAGTAAAAGAAAATCTTTCTGACAGCGAATGTAGCTGTGCTGCGTTTGGGAACTGCACAAGGCCATTAAGTGCACTGAGAGAGGCGGGGCAGCGGATTGAAGGACCAAGTTCTAATACAACGCTACCACATGTTAACCCCATACACACATGCCATCCGACTTACACAGCAAGCTACACACACACACACATACACACACACACGCACGCACACAGAGCAAGATATGTATTTGAAATATGTTGGAACAAAATAAAAATCGATCCTTTCTCTGATCTAGTGCAGCACCACGGAGAGCTCCCAGCTTCGTCCTCTAATTAGAATCAATCAATAAACCCTTACTTGTACATGCATATGCTTTTTTTCATTGTGGCAAATTATTATTAAGAGACACATTTTACACATTATTTAGCATGTGGTCGGTTAGTGGTACGCCCAAAACATAGCACCCTCAGTTCTCTCCTCCGCTCACTTTCTCTTCCGGGTGCTGATGTTTATCAATGCATTTTCCTCCTACCGTCTACCGCACGACAAGGATGTTGCATCCGCGTGCCTATTATCATCTTCTACGAGAATTCAGCTGAAAATATAGTGGATGCAAACATGTCGCAGGATTATAAAATGGCTGGAGGATCCCCAGTTCTTTTTGTAAGACATTGCACCCTGTTGTTGGTATCCGGGATATTCAGGTCCATCCTGCAGCCCAATATAATGAATGTTAGGCTATTGTGATAGCGTAGTTATTGACAAGCCAGGTGTGTGCAGTTTGCAGTTGTTGTTATTACCCCTAGTGGAGGTAGGTTGATTTCGTTTTTCAGACTTTAGATGCTCAGGAAATGCATGAATAGCCTATGTATCAAAATGTCACCGCATAAATGTATTACAGCCTATATGCAAACGTGTTTAGAAATCTAGCTTATTTACAGTCGTATAGCCCATTTGACTGTGAGATGTCTAATAGGCATTGATCGCCTTTGTAAGATTAAAATATTTTTTCATTGTTTCAGACCACAATGCTACAAGGCTCAAATATCTTGGGGCACGAGAGGCCCCTGGTCATCAGGATATCGTTCACCACCTGTGTTCTGGCTACTGTGTGCCTACCACTGCTTGGATTGATAACGTGCGTCTTCATATCCTCTGTTTTTCATTTTGAGGACTCTACTGGTACACACTGCCAGGTAATGATCTTATTTTGCAAACTGAACCAACCATGTTTTTCTTTTGATGCTCCATACATTTTTGAAACTCTACTGAATCATTGCTGTATGTTTCAGGTGCCAAATTACCTGCCATCAATAAGCGCCTCAATAAGCCTAAGTCCTGAGTGCCACATATGGCGGTTCTGCATCGGATTGCATTCAGCACCGAGGCTCCTGGTGGCGTTTACATACTTCAAATTTTACAAGACACGTTTTTCCTCGAGGTTCCCAGAGAGTTCACTCACCTGCTTGAACTTTGCATTTTCTATTTCTGAAAACCTTGGCCTCTTGCTCCTCACATATGTGTCATCCAGTGAAACATATTGTGAGTAATTCACATTTTAGTTACTATTTTACATTTTAGTTGGAGAGTTTGCACTCAAACCATAGGCTTCATTTATACTGGGGACGCTGGGGACATGTCCCCACCACATTTTGAATTGGCTGATTTTGTTCCCATCACTTTTTGAAAGTATTTGTTAAAAACATTCAGGAAAATAGCTTGCATTAAGAAATGTTAACCAACTAATGAAAATGCTTTGAGATTTATTTACACAATAACAAAACATGCAATGCAATGTAAATAGAAGAAGCAAATGTGCATTGTCCAAAAAAGTTTTAAAAAATGTAAAAAAACAAACAAACAAAAAACAAGCTTCTGATTACTGCATTATATTTTGGAATATTTTTATTCATAAATTCTCTGCCTGCTGAATTTTTGTTTCCCTTTATATATATATGGACATTTCCACCGTAATTTGGAGAATAAAATGTTTCCAGAATGCAGGAAAGTGTATAATGCTCTAATTTTCTGGGGAGGACCCCCAGACTCCCCGCTCATATATTTCAGCATTTCTTATTTCTTCAAAATAGTGTTAAAATTTTTCTCTTCTTGTTCCTAGTGCATCAGCCCATCTCGTGACCCAAGTGTATCATTAAGCCTCTAATCTGAGCCCTTATGTCCCCAACAGTTTGAAGCACAATTCAGAGTTGGGTCACTAATGCACTGATTCAAAGTTTACTTTTATTTGACAATCATTAATTTTTACTGTCCTCTACTGACCAAATTACTCTCTTTCTTTGTGTATTTATGCCCAATTAGTTGTACATAAGGAAGGTTTTGTCCTCTTCATTGTCAGTTCTATTATCTACATGCTGATAACCTGCCGTTTATGGAAGGCTATTAAGAAGTATTCATTAAGTCCTGAGGTAAGACATGCCAAATCACAACACTGTTATTTTCAGTATTTCAGTCCAATTCCGTATTACTTTTTCCCCTTCCCTTACAGGATGCCAAGTCTCACCATTGGAAAGTGCGCTTCTTATTTCTCAACGTGTCCTTTTGTGTTTTGGCCGGATTCTTTTATTGGAAACACAACATGTACTGTGAATCAGGGAGTAAGTATTAAATCAGTTCCATCATTTCGGTTTAATCTGTAAGCGCTGAATGACACAACATTTGAAAACATGGTAGTCCTATGAACACTAAAGTAAAATTGTAGCTACAAAACGCTGACAAAACATATGTAGATCATGTGCCCCTGTTTCTTCCTTTCACAGGTTATACATTGTTTGCCCTGTTTGAGTATCTGGTGGTCTTCTCCAATATGGCCTTCCATCTCACAGCAGTGTGGGACTTTAAGAGTCGTGAGGTCATGGTCATTTCATCCTCTGAAGATAAAGACTTCTGACTAGAAACTCAAGGATTAAGTCCTAAACATACAGCCACTCAACCACCTGATGATAACAGCCTTGATCCTTCTCAGGAGGAAGAAGATTGGGATGAAGGCCTTTTCCATATATTTCCATGAGGGTTTAGATGTCAGAGATGTTTGAACAAAAGATTTGCTACTGTATGGTCTGCTCAGTAAGCTGTAAGTGCATTTTTTGCCTCAGTGTCTCATTCATGGATGCCTTTGCCCACATACAATGTGTTGTGTAAGGTCAAATTTTAACTTTTGTATAATGCACAAAAACAATATGTGGTCATACTGTATGTTTGCCAAAGTAAAGTGACAGTTCTTCAAGTGTGCTTTGTTTTTATTTTGAAATACAAAAAAGGGGAGGGTGGGTGTTTAATATGTCCATGAATTCCACCACCAGTTCCTCTATTGTTGTACTTCAAATGCAGTACCACTGTTGTGAAATAATTTTGTCATTCCTCATTCTTACCTAAAAGACTTGACCTAAAAGTTAACGCTGAGTGGATGAAAACCCAGTGACAGTGGTCATGTACAAGCACAAATCACTGTAAAGTTTTAGCACCACTGTGCATAAATCGTCTTTAAAAGATTGTAACGTACGTTTTCTCAAAATATGATATTGTTTGATATATGAGTATGTGCTAATACACCATGACAAAAGTGCAATGCTCTGAAGCCTCTTTTACACCCACACACACACTCCAAAATCCAACTCTGATGATGCAAGTACTGGCTAAGCACCAGCAAGAAGTCTCATTTTGGCTGCAAGACCTTGAATCATTTACAACCTAACAACGAAAACGACACTTTTACTTTCTGCTGTTCTACTAGCTAGTGGACATTAAGTTTATAATGTGTTTAAGTAGATTATCACACAGATAGTACAAACAAATGTAAAGGCAGCCTGGTTGATAGGGTTGGTTAGCAGTTGCATTATTAATGACAACATTATTAATGACAACATTTTCCTGATATTATATATATGTCAAATGAATGCAGTTCACATGTAAAGCATAACATTGTAACAAAGTTTATTGCCTTAACATCAGTTTGATTATTTTACTACTATATACTATATTACTATTTTATTTACTTACAATTACCATTGTAAATAAATACAATTGACAGCAGAATTGTTTTAAATATGACCATATTATCACAAGATGATACATAAATCCTGTACTTGAGTAAAATTACAGATACCCTTGCTAAATATTACTTCAATTTAAATTTGTACTTGAGTCAAAGTACAAAAGTAACTGTTTCTAAAAATACTGTAAGTATCAAAAGTGAAAAGTACTATTAGTATGATTACGTTTGTCATGGGTTGCTGAAATGGAAAAACATAATTTAAAAACAATCATCAAAATAGTTCCCAATTTCTGTCAATCAGCTAATTGTTGCAGCTGTACTTGTACAAACTGTTGGGTAGCTTAATTTATAACAAAACATCATATATTTTTTAAAGCTCCTCATATGTTTTGTATGTAAAAATCTTCCTTTGTAAAGAAAATAGTAACTGAAGCTGTCAGATAAATGTAGTGAAGTAAAAAGTACAATGTTTTCCTCTGAGATTTAGAGGAGTAGAAGTAGATAGAGGGAATGAAGATTTAGAGGAGTAGAAGTAGATAGAGGGAATGAAAAGTACAGCACTAACTACTTAGTTACTATCCACCACTGATAACAGCCAACATTTGTGCTCTTCCCTCCTTGGCAGAAAGTCTTCCGTGAAAAAAGGTATTTCATTCCAAGCGCTAATGACAGGTGCTTACTATAGAGGGAAGGTTGAGTTTGAAACTAGAGTCCCAGTGTGATAATGGCTTAAACAATCCACTAGATGACAGACTTCAGCAATTTGTTTAACTGTATTCGACGTGATATTCAATATATCCTCCAAACGGTAGGGGGCTACACCTACTCATGCTATCCAGGGACTCTGGTGTAACTTAGAGGAAGACAAGCCCACCCTCTGTCCATATTCTGCGGCTTTTTCGGTTCAGTGAGTCTCTGTCGGGGGAAAGACCAAGACCTTTTTCTAATAGGAGGTGGAGTTCGCTGTGTGCTTCAACTCCATGCGCTTGCTGCAATGTTAAGCCAGAGCTGAAACTACGTATCCCGCTGGCTCTATTTCATGACAGGTAACTTTATTTTGTATTAATCAGCATTAACGTTACATTGTTCCAGTAGTAACCATAACGTTACCGTTGTAGCTAGGCTCAGTGGTAATGTGTTGTCTCTTATGGTTAACGTTAGCTGAACGTCAACAGTGGCTAACGGGCGTCTGCAGTAAAAAATTAAACACGGAAGCGTTGGTGTGAGGGCTCTGTCATGTGTCTCCCCCTTTGCTGGATTTTTCACTTCATTTCCTAGTTAGCCGAGATGTTCAGCTAGCTAGTCGGGGCTTGTCAGGCATCCAGTCACCAGACGTCGACGGGCCAGGCTGCTGTTACTTCTTTAATCTTATTATTTTTCTCCCTTTTTAGTGACTTAAAGCACAGCTAAACTGACAAAATAAAGGTTTGATTCCTTGAATGAAGGATGATTCCTTAGCTGTAACCAGATATTAGCACGCTAAGAATGTGTTCATTCATTCAGGAAGAAGAGGTACACTTAAGAAGTGATATCATGTGTCTGCAATTGCTGCAGGGGATCTTTATGTAACTATTTCTTTTGTGTGCTCTAAGTCGATTAATGCAGCTTCCTCTAATGTTACTTGCTAATATGTCATATGTTTAAGAGACAATGTAGCAACACTGTTTTAATTAAGTATGAGCGACGTTTAATCGATTAACCTATACCTTAAATGGAGATAACAGAATTTCAAGGGACTCTCTCAACTCAGCTGTCTTCTTTCCCAGCATACACCAGCCATGGAGTTCAACAAATTGGTGACCTTGTGGATATTTTGCTTGTGTCTCGTTGGAGAAAGTTGGACTGAAAAACAAAGTTCACCTACACCGGACATTGTTGAAAATGGGGTGTCAGGTGAGTAATCAGGCATGGGATTAATTAGTTGTAGCATTCTTAAAGTCTGCCCACACACACACACACACACACACACACACACACACACACACACACACACACACACACACACACACACACACACACACAATAGATTGGCAGTTAAGAGTATTAGTTACTGTTCGTGCCACATCTTTGTGATTGTGCAGGCACTATATGTAGCCATGCTGAGAATAGTCCAGCTAGCATTCTCCATTAAGCCCTGTCCTCATGCTCAGATTAAGCCAACTAGTCAAATAGGAGGTAATTGATCTAATGAGCAGGGTTTAAGTAGTTTCTGAATCAGTTAGTAATAATCAAGTGTCAACTGTTTTCAGTAAATCTTAAATTAGGATCAATACCTTGTACTTTTGTTGTACTTTTTTTTTTTCTTTTTTTTTTTTTTCTTTTTTTTTTTTTGGTGGTACAGTAAAACATAAATTGTACATGTTCATAATGCTTTAATCGTGGTAATTGGTATAAAAAAAGCTTGCCTAACAAATTAAATCTGCAGTACTATTGAAGACTGATAATATGTAGACACTCTCGTCTTGGATTTGCTCTTATCTATCACCAAGCTCTTGACTACGTAACCTAATTTGTAGACTCTCACACTAACGGTAACATGGGCCTCTCATAACCTCATACTGCTGCATGAACTTACTGCACTACATTACACAGCATAGTCTATTTTCCCTTTTTAATTGAAGGTTTAAAAGAAAGCATAAACATGTTTTAGTCATTTAGTCTAGTAAAAACACATTTACCACACAGGATAGATGAGGTCCTCTACCACTGTGGTAATAGCTTGCCTCAATCCATTTCAAGTGATTTCACATGAATGATGACAGTGGTTGCGTACTATTTACACTAAACTTAAAAACCTGAATCTACTTGGGATGCATATGAGCCAGTTATGACATAGTATGACTCAGGGTTTTTAAAGTGTGCTAGTGTGTGTTGTTGGTACCGCTGAACAGTGTGGTTAAATGGGAACTGTAGAGACATTGTCGAAGTTGCTCATACACGTTTTGCATTTGAAGCACCGTTTTATAGATGTATTCCACATGGACAGTCCCAGGAGGCCACAGTGTGGGGAAAGAAGCTGTTCTTGACAGTGAGTGGTGACATAGTTACCGCTGTAGTTATGGTGTGGCAAAGTTATGGAGTGTGTTCTTCATCTACACACAGAATGACTTGCGTAACAAGGCTGAGTGGTATGTAAATATCTTATCTTGTGTCTCCGGAGGTTTGCAAGCCAAATGAGAAAGAGGGCCAGGTTGGGTATGTGAGTGTTGCAGGTGGTAGGCTCTCACTAGGGTAACTTATCATTCTTTGTTTAAAAAGGTTGAGTGAATGAGAATGTGGAATTGCCCTTTTGGTATGTGCTGTTGCAGGTTTTCTGAAACTGAATGCTTTCGTGCTGTGCCTAAAAAGTAACTTTTCACTATGCGGAAGTTCATGTTATGCAAATCCATCCTTCCTGGTTCTGGTTTAGCTGTTCTGGTGTTCATGTAAATATATAAGGCACGATTTGCCAACTAGCTAAACCTTTCACAGGCACACATTCATGGACACAGCGACTGTTGCATCTGTGACATGGTTTACTTTCTGTTTTCTCTCTCAAACCGCTAAAAGACATCTGTCACATGTGGTTCAGGGAATAAAGAAAATGTCGACTGGTATGATAAGTTGATCAGTGGGAGGGGGCATTATGCTGTAAATGCCCAGCATGACTCGAACCAAATGCCTGCACTTAATTATGTGGGTGACAGAAATTATGATGGAGCCATATCAATTGAGATATGGACCTGAGCTCAGCCATTTATGAAAGAAGTGAGTTTGACTTTGTGTACTCCTACACCATATTGTTGTGGGGATGATGCAGGCAACATGAAAAGCAATGTCTGTCCAACCATCTACTAGCAACTGAGAATGAACTAGAATAAAGTGTTTTACTTAATAGGACTGTAGTGTGAACTGTAGTAAGTCAATTTGTTATGTAGCGGCACATTCTTCTTAAAAACCAAGCTTAAGAAGAGCAAGCCACTTTTTCAGCCTCCCCCTCACTGTCACATTCCTCTTTTTGTGGTTATAATCCATTGAAGTACACAAATATTATACTGTGTTTGATGTACGCTTTTTAAATTAAAGCAAGAAATGACTGAGTTTGAAAATCTCAAATTTACAAGAGAATTTGGACTAAAATAGCAGCAGCACATGGAACATAAAGGTTTTATAAGACAGACAGACCTGTGAACTTCACTTCAACCGTGCTTTGAATTTAAAATTCACATTTTAACTTGTTGTTATTACAGGTAGACTTCCATGTCTATTCACACAACTCCTGAGTGTCTGCAAGCTAAATAAGGTTTTCTCTTCTTAGGGGTGGCAGCGTTATCGCTGATCTGTGCCAGAGGATTTTTAATCCCTCAGGAAGGAGAGGGAACACAGGCCAGACAGGCTTCACTAGATAACTTGCAGATTGCTAAATTACATGATAATTTATCATGGGAACATAAATTCCTGACTTATCTACAATTAATTGTGGATCCCAACACACGAAAATCCTCAAACGTTACTGAGGCCTCACTGTCAAAATGCTGAATGCTCTTATACATCAACAACATCTAAACTAACAAACCCAAGTTTTATGACATTAAATAGAACTGTGAAATCCAAGCTGACTGCTGAAGCTGATTCTTATTAAAAAACGATTTGCCTTGTGACATGAACAGTTTTTGGTCTACAAAGTAGGTCTGTCAGTCATGGTATATGGCTTCTTGGTAACATCCCCACATTGAGTGAAAGGCCTGATATAAACAAGGCTTTGTCTTCAGCTAAGGAATTTAGCAGTTCACTTATCTTAGAGAGAGGGTGAGCAAGGGCAGTCCAACCAGGGATTTTGCTGTCTGACTTTTCTGCAAAAAGCAGTAAAGATTGAATGCCATGAACTTTTGTACCAATCACATTATTAGTTAAGAGAGCTGTTGTAGCATAAAAGGAGTACTTGAGTAACTTGATCAACCAATGCTTGATTCAAAACTATGTATTTATATATTTTTTTTAATTGGAAAAACATTGTTAGTAGTTATTCCTGACATTGTTAAAATAGCACATTTGGTGTTGAAATCTAAAAATACAAATTTAATCATATTAAAGTTTTTTTTGTTTGTATAATTTCTTCCTCTTATCGCATAGCAACAGGATGGAGCATGACTAAGGTTTCCTTCAAACATATTTTGAACAGTATCACACTGTCACTACATTACTGCAAGCATAGCTTGGTTTCTGTTGTGGTTGTTTGGAGTCTTTGGATGGCAAAGTGTTAAAGACTTTGGCAAATTTTAAGTTTTTGGTGTTTTCAAGATAACTAAAATGTTCTTTTGGCTGTGCATAATTGCATTCATGTTCAATTTTTTCTTTAGTCATCTTTATTGTTTTAGTAGTAAAAATAGTAGTCAAAATAATTTGACAGTTTCACAGTCTCCTCTTTACACCATACTGACATGACTCTGTTTCTCCACCAGATTTTTGTCGCATCGATGAGCAACTATGCAAGGACGAGAACAGCAATCTGGGCTATGAGGCTATCCGTAGTATCCACAAACAGATGGATGATGATGCAAATGGCAACGTAGACGTGGTAGAGACAGACGGTGTAAGTAGCAGCCTGAACAGTAATCATCAAAAAGAGCTCTGTTAAATGTTTTCTGGTTTGTACAGTCACAGAGGTGGTCTTCATTCGGTCTGAAGAGGCTTACAGGTATCATTATTGTAATGTTCTGTCACCTGACTTGTCGTAGGATTTGTTGCTTAGATGGTCAGTTAATCATAACCCTGTAATGTCCTTAACTTACTCTGAATAACTGGAGGATTTGTCCAGTTAGCACTTCAGTGCCCTTCTTCCTGAAGTTTTTGTCAAATAAATGTCCTATTTCGCATTAAGTGTGGCTAGAACTGGCATGCATGGTATAGACATTGATGTTGCCACATTTGTAACACTGTAACATTAGTATTAGTGTAGCGTTTATTCAGTGTGTGTGTGTGTGTGTGTGTGTGTGTATTTTATTACAGTGAAGTATAATGAAAGCACAGTATAAACGTTCACAGCTGTCTAATGCTCGTCAGAAGTCGAGCCTGTTGCTTCTCAGACGTCACTGCCTGTAGTCCTTTTAGCTTACATCCTGAGCTCTAGTCTAAACTGCATGTTGTGGCCTTAATCAGGCCCCTGCTGGAGTCTCATTTCTGTGTGTGGCATGTGGTGGCTGCTTTCAGAAGAGGCACTTGGCATGCAAATACCCCCTAAAGCAAAGAATCAAGACAGTAGTCCTGTTTGCTGTTACCACAGAGTGATTAAATAAAGAGGATAGAGATTTCTTTATGACTAAGATCAAAATATCTGCACTGCATCTGGCGTTAACAAGAAGCATTGGACCTTGGGCAACATTATACAGGTCTTGCTAATTTTCCAAAGAATACATTTTCAGGCGCGTGATATTTCACCTGCAGTACAGACCATCCATCTACCCTGTAGTGAAATCCTCCCACACAAATCTATCAAGAAACAAAGGCGTCATGATGACTTATTACTGTCTTTCACCCATGTTGCATGAGTTGGCTTTTGTGGGAGTGCAAGATGTTTTTAAAAACCTGGTGACTGAGTTAGCCTACAATATAGTGGGCAACCAGTAGTTTTAAGTAAACTAAAGTATATCCTTGTCTGGTCGAATCAAATCCTTTTGAAATCGACTAAGCTAAAATAACATTTTCCTTAGTCACTCAAGATAATTTGCACATATAACCTACATATGGTTGGTCTAAAAATTGCAACAGCAGTGCACTTTACTGTAGTGAATGGGTCCCTTTTTATGGGTTCCCATTCACCAGTAATGATATCAAAATAGTTGTTACACTCAGATTTCCAATGATGTTATAAAGTGCTGCCTTTTGTAATTTCTTTGACTGTGTTTGACAAATTGTTTTTTGCAATAATGTATCAGGACAAAAGAGTCCAGATTCTAGACACATTGTTGATAGGTTGTCACAAACGCATCCAATTTGGTTTTAAATAACACCTTTAGTCTGGCATTTCGTAAATTGGTGATCAGTACACTTCTGCAAATGTAGAATAACCAGTAAAATGAGTGAAGAGGACGTTCTGTACCACTCCTCAAAATTGCTGAAAATCTTTTCAGGTCATGTATGGTTGATATATATTCATTATGTTTTATATTCCTGTCACAGTGCATAAAGCAAATACACACACAAACGACAAGAACTACATTTTCTTTTTTTATGGGGGTGGGTCATAAAAACCACAGCAGTGGAACGGGTCAAAGTGCTCACAGTAAATCCAAACCCTTCAGCAGATTTCTAAATTTGTCCTCTTTGTTCTCCAGACATTTATACATTTTATACACTCACCCCTTTCTCACATGTACTACACATTTCACTAAGTACTACATTCAAATTTGAAATTGCCACATTGGTCATATTAAGCTAACTTAAGATCTATATGCTGAGACTGAGCTGATAACAGACACACTTTTTAAGTGTTTAAAAACTACTTATGTGAGTTTACACTTGTGCATGGTAGATTCTTTGTAACGACTACAAACATCCTTGTCATCCTACAGTTCCTGAGAGAAGATCTAAATTACCATGACCCCAAGGCCAAGCATAACAGCTTCCATGGGGATGACCAGTTCATAAGTGTGGAGGACTTGTGGAACGCATGGAAGGGCTCTGAAGGTACTGTTTGAGGCATCGTTCTCTCCTTGAAGGCCAGCAATGATTGCACAAACAGGCCTTTATTTCAGACGTTTTTTGTATTTGTGAGTCTGAGTTGTAAGCCTTGAATCTTGTTTTGCTCACTGTGTTTCCTGTTGATATATTCTGCTGATACTGACTGTTTGATATTGGGCTGTTGTTATTTTTAAAGAATCGCTCCTTGTGACTTTGATTGCCGTTTTGGACATTAGTGTAGGTAACCCGTAACTTAGAGTTTGTATTTCCCTGTGACTGAAAGTGCGCTTTGCACATTTCAGATGGCTTGTAAAGCAAAGTGCAGTCTGCTTATCTTCTCCAGCCAGGGGCTGGACATCATTGGATCTGTCAACACCAAATACACGTCTACAGTCTCACCTCCTTCAGCATATCTTTTTGGCTGGGCTATCGTGTAATGTTTGAGAGCACTTTTCACATGCTCTCTTGTATCTGGCATCTTGTATCTTTTCACACCCTTTCCTCTGGCTGCCTTTCTCCCCTTTGTTTTATTTTTTTTATTTTTTATACATAGTACTGACTTACACTGCATTGCAGATTCTTGACAGGGCTCTGGAGGTTTTCAGCCAGGAAACTGTGTTTTGTAGGTTTTTGTTTTTGTCCAAGAGAGCAACACATTAACACATACAGCCCACACCATTGACTCTCTGCCAGAGCTGGAGAGTGGATTTTCCTTACCCATTTATTGCTGTGGGTGAGCTATTGTATGTTATGCTATAGGATACCTCAGATCGTTCAAGGTATTGAGGCACATGGTCATATTTGTTTTGTGTCAAGCTGTATACACAGTGCAGTCAAAAAATGTTAGTGACGCGTGTTTGTTTTGCGTCTGTTTAAAATCAAATCTTTGTTTTAGTGCTGACTCTCACTTTGAATTTAGATGTGTTTATATCCATTTAAGATAAACATTGTAGGTAAAAAGGGAAGATTTGTACACGACCATTACAGTTATCATATTTCATATTTGGTTGTTTATTATTATTATTTTATTTTGGTAATCATTGACTGCTTAAAGTCTACGACCCATAGACGTCAGCAGATATTTGGTATCTTCCCTGGTGATACTGTGTCAGTACTGCAGCTATCTTCAGTTGTTGCTGGTTTTGGAGGCTTTTGGTCATCACTTTGTTCTTAAGCAAGTGAAACAGATAATGAGTTGGACTGAGGTCAGCCCTTTCTTGCCTTTTTCTGACAAGCTACAGGTCTACAAGTACATTGTTCGCTCAATACAGATGTGAACAACCTCAAACACAGATAAAATTCAACTGGTTAATTATATAGTCATTGTTTCACTTACAAAACTAATTTGTTGGATTGAAAAACTGACTCCACCAAATGTGATGGAAATGTATTTTAGACTTATATTCTATCAGTACTGATATCTGCACGTCAGACAAATGAGAATCGGAGTGCTCTAAGTATATATTTTATTTTTTCCTTTTCCCCTTAGTGTATAATTGGACAGTGGATGAGGTCGTGGAATGGCTCATCACATATGTGGAACTGCCACAATATGTGGATGCATTTCGCAAGATGGGTTTCAATGGCAGTTCCATGCCAAGGTAAGAATATCTCAACTTCTCAAAATTGCAAAGTCTACTAGATCTATGAACAGTGTGCCCCTTTAGACTGGCCATAAATACCTTGTGGTTTATATAAGGCTGGTCAGGCTTTTCTTCACAGGAATAAAAATATAATGCTTAAAATGAAAGATTCAAGCAATAGAGTTGACTCATGACAGCAGTGATGCACAATGTGGGATGCCACCACATCTCTAGTCTAATCCGTCTGTCAGTTTTATTACATTTCTTTTAATTTCCCTCTTTCTCATTTGGCTTTAATAAAAGGCATCCAGTCTGTACATTTTGTCAAAATTAGTTTACCTAAAAACCATTAGTGTTTTTATATTAGATTAATTGTATGTAGATGGATTTGTTAACAGGTCACATTACACTTGGATCAAAATGGATTACACCCTTCGTTTCTTGTTCTGGCAAAATGTCTTTTCTCTCTCAGGTTAGCCATAAAGAACACCACTCTGACACTCTCTATTCTGAAGATTCTGGATCGCAGCCATGTGCAAAAGTTGCAGCTGAAAGCTTTGGACACTGTACTGTTTGGAGCACCCCTGAGTATGTGACAATCTATTTTGTTTTTTGTTTTAATCCCTGTACACTCATTCATGCAACTCATTCATCAGTGACTTGTGAATGGGGGTTCCATTGCACTACCTCTTTATGACGGTTAAGATTTCTGTCGCATTTTTTGTCTATTTAAATAAGCAGGATATCTCAAACCTGTCAACAGAATTCAGTTATTTGTTGGATAATTAAGTTGGTTGATGGGCAAAGGAGTTCTTAATATTGTTAACAGAAATGCTAAAAAATCACTCCCTGTAGTTTCTGGTTTCACTGAGATACTGATCTAGATACAGAGTTTATAAAACAAATTTGGATGATTCTGCATCCTTGACAGATTTAAATGCAGCCCGTGCAAAGTGCTTTATAATTTTTGTTCCAAATTAAAGGCCTTACTTACTGACACCTTTTTTAGAAGTTTATGGCCCGCTCACATGTTTTTGCCTAACTGGTTTACTTGTACCAAAAAGGTCATTAAAGAGACGTAAATGACTAAGTCAGCACTTCATGGAACTCCCTCACAAAAAAACAGAATTGATTCTCTTGAACTTAAAGAATACTTATGTAGGAAGTGTTGGCGTTTCTATTGACAGCCTACCACCATGACCAACATCCTGACCACTGTTGTCTGCTACTCTCATTTTTCATCAGCTGTTTGTTTCAGTGGTATGTTGTACTCTGGTTTGTTTGTTTTATTCATTTACTTAGTCACCTACTCATCTATTAACTTATTTACTCACTTTAGTCAGCTCATCATTGGTAAATAGGAGAAATCCTGTTCCCACCCGTTTCAGGGATTGAGGAAGTGAGCCGAGGGTGGGACCACACTGCTCTGTATTCTGGACACACCCCTGTGTACAGAAACAAAAAATAAATCAGTCCTCCTCTCCCTCTGTATCATTGCTCCAGTTCTGTAACAACAGATTTGTAATCCTATAGTTTTTATTTTTTTTGTTTTTCTTTAGGGCTTCAGAACATTAACAATGGATGGACTGTCTCAGCTATTATACGTCTTGGCAGTACTTTATTTTTGTTCTTGTATGTAATCTGTGTTGAAATTGGGAAATTTCCCAGAATGACTGCCAAAATTCTTCTTTCTTGAAAAACAACATACCACATTAAAAGCTTAGTTACAGTGTGACAGCTTAATACAGAAATTTTGTATTATTGAGCCTCAAAGTCAGGAAGATTCTGGAAAAATATCTGTATATTTACGCAAAATATTAATGGTGTGCAGAGACTTCCCTGGCCTTGAAGTTTGAGCCCATTTACTAGATAAAAAAAGTAGAGGGGTGTATATTTGGAAGGGGAGTGCTAATGAGAACTGATAATCATAAGTCAAGCCAGAAGAGAAAATATGTAATGGACCTTCATAGAAAGTAAACATTTGCATTGGAAAGAAGTGTATAGTGGTCTGTGTCTGGCATGTGTCATTGTGTATGTGTTGTTAGTCACTCCCGAAGGAAGACATTAGTGAGCGCTGTCTGGCTTTGACAGCCTCTCAAAGCCAAGGCTCCCACTGATAATCAGACTGACTGACCGCATATAGCAGCAGCATTTTTAGACACCTCTCACAATAGGTAGATCCTAATCTAGTGGATAGTTGTGTATTAATTAACCCAAGCACATTTGGGGCCAGTTATTTCCAGTTCTGTGGTTAATTAAATGTCACTTTATGCTCTCTCTGAAAGGCAGTGGATGTTGTGTTTACTGTATGTAAGTAGCAAATTACATAGACTACACATGGGGGTGACAGAAGGCAAACTGTGTTTCCTGTTCAGAACCGATAATGTTGCCTTGTTCTCCTAAGTGTCCGTGCTTAGTGACAGTGCAGACCCAAGGCGCATTTAGCATACCTAGATTTCATTTATCATAGTTCAGTTAAATATCGTGACCTCATTTGGGGGAGTTGTACTCTTAGTTGTGAAGAGGTAATTATATGCATATACCAGCCTATCAATTGAGCTTAGTTATTGTACTTAGTCAGTAGAATTAAGAAGAGACAGGGTTGTACAGCTGTCCTGTAGGCTTTCTGTTTCTCAGCTCTGATACATACTCGGACATAACGGGCACAGCTTCTCCAAGTTCCTTGACTCTGATGAACCTGTGTTTGTTTTGGACTTTATACGCAAGTCCACAGGAACATACACAATCCTCCCGAAAGATCATTTAGCACAAGCTAGAGACTTGGTTATGTGCCTATACCATAAAAAAGGGTTCACATGGATCATATCTAAAGACAAAAAAGCCTGTACTCTCCTTCTCTCCTAACTTTACTTCCTTTTTGTCTCACTCCAGGAAGTAGAAGTCATGTTTTTGACATCTCTTTCCCCCACACCCCTTTGCAGGTTTTGCAAGAAAAAAACATGCCTCATCGTGCAGCTTGCAAGGCTGAAATTCAGGCTGTGTGTCAATAGGTGCATGCCAATGCTCTACGGACTCATCATATTACAAATAGACTTTATTAAACACAATCGTGATTGTGGGGTTAATTTTAAGATGTCCTTTTGTAAAAGGTCTCCTCACTTGAATGTTAGTGAAAATAATTAATATAAGGCTTCCTACAAATGGGAAAGCTTTAATTGCTTTGATTCCCTTTCAATGACTTAATATCTCCTCATGTGTACCAACATGTTATGGTTGCCATTGCATGGTTTTCTGTGCATGTTTACCAGACCGAAATAGGCTGTTCTAAGCTGGCTTTGTCGTGGTCTTTTGCACAAGGCACTCTCATTGCAACCTGAACTTGTGCTAGTGATTTTCCTATCAACAAAACTTGCAATGTGACTAGGCTTTGTTCAAGCACAAGCTTCACACCACATCCCTGTGAAGCTTGCTCATTGTTACAGCTTTAGCTTATGGTCTTGATTTTATATTGCCTGGCTCAAATACACCTCTTCTACTGGTTTATCTAATGATTTGTATTACCTTGAAACAATGTAACCTCAATTGTTTTTCTCTTTCTATCAGTGAATAGACACAACCACTTGAAGGACTTCATGCTGGTAGTGTCAATAGTCATAGGCATGGGTGGCTGCTGGTTTGCCTACATCCAGAATCGCTACTCTAAGGACCACATGAAGAAGATGATGAAAGACCTGGAGGGCCTGCAGAGAGCTGAACAGAGTCTGCATGACCTACAACAGAAGTGAGGGTTTTTTTTTCCACAAACCACACAACAAACTGTCATCTATGTACTGCATTGTATTGTACCATAAATTGACTCAAAACTAACTTTAAAGTATTTTGATGAATAGTAATTATCAGTTTTAATATTAACATCAGACTGTGTTGGACTGGCAACATTTCTTACATGTCTTGCATGTGCAGTGAGATATCCCTCTCGCATCCCTAGCTCATTGACTAATTGAGCAGTTCAGAACAGCCTCGAACATTTTCTGAAAGGAGGGGGGGGGGGGCGGAAACAGAAGTTTTTCTTTTTCCCCGACACTGAGACCTTCTGCTGTGAACTTGACTGATTAATCACTGTCGACTGAGATGTTTCTGACGGACTCTAACAGCCTTTTGTTTATTGTTATGACCTTGATAAATAGATGATAGTCCAAACAACAGCCTTATATCCTATCACTTTTTTAAAGCCTTTAGTTTGTGAAATAGGTTAAGGTTTTATTTTACAGTGTGTTTCTTCTAGTGTTAGCTGAAGCAGGCGAAAATCCTGTCTCAATGGGATTTTACTATACCAATAAAATGTGCTTAAATAAGAATTTGCATATAGTGGTTCTGAATCCTGTATATATTTCATAACTCGGTCGTAACATTCACAGGATTACATGTACAGGACAGATCCACATTGTTGTAAAATGGGAAGTGAAAAACTGTCAAGACTGCAGGAGCTGCACTTTAAAAGGTCTGTGTCCGATCTCCAATGAATTAGACAAATGACTTGACTTAAGTCATGTTTAAATGAAAGTGAAACATTTAAATTACATGAACACATTTATGGCAAGATTTATATGACTAACTCCCAAGTATAAATTGCTGATTCAAGCAGTCAAAATGAGACTCTGCTAGGTGTCTCAGTCTACATGACGTGGAGCTCAGTGGTTTTTGGTATGAGCTGCTGCCCCTTCACAGTGAGAAGAGACAGCTGAGGTGGTTTGTTTGTTACATGGTACCCTACCCCCTTCGGTGTCTTGCTTTGCTTTCACTGTTTGAATATTTGGTCTTGTAATAGATTTTCCCAAAAAACAGGTGAATGGATGAACCTCTGTGAACCTTGCAGTTCAGCCAAAGCTCATGAATGTTGTGTCTGCCCTGTCACATAACTTCTGTTGTGATACAGGATACTTTGTGCTGACCTGGTGTCTTCTGGCCTAAGACGTATCAGCCCATTGCTGCCTTAATTATTAAATGTTTTGAAATGAAATGTTTTAAAATAAAGCTCCCATAGATAGCCAAATGCATCTGAGCCATTGGCCGTATAATGAGGAATAAATGGAGGTTATAACACAAATCTAACTATTTTGGTCCTGTTAATACTTCAAAGAATGCTCAGAATGTGCTTTTAAGCCTGCACTGTCTCCTCTTAATCCTTTAAAGGATACTCAAACACCACTTCAACTCATACACAGGACAGGCTTTTATCTGTTTTTTTTTTTTTTGTTTGTTTTTTACTGGTAAAAGGAAGTCATTACCAAGGTACACAGATACTGCTATCAAATTGTCAAAAGTCACAGTGACATGACAGTTGATGTTTTGCTGCTGATGTTTAGTATCTGTTGTTCTAATTATTTCTGATTACAACATGTTGCTATGGAAGAACATAACATGAAAAGTGACTGATCAAAAGTGAGTTGCATTCTCTATAATGGCATCAGTCAATGCCACATTATAGTGCTGTGCATTTTGAAATGTGTGAATTTAATTGAAGGCCAGTGAGAGGATTCTTGTCATAGATGTGTTGGTATTACTGATTGGATTTTTTTTATATGTACATCTGCTGGTCTGTCATGAAGTTGCCATCAATTCCACTCGCCTAGAAAAGGGTTAGGAGTTTGAAAGAAAAAATATCTATAAATGTTGTAAAATGTGATAGTTGGTGCTCAGCGCGAGCATGTAGTGGCATCATATTGTTTCACTGAAAACGTAAGGATTTTTCTTTGACCGATGCTTTTCCACGGCATTTAGTATAAAGATCTGTCGGTTGTTTTTTTGACATTGTGTACAGAGTAGAATTTGACATGAGGCTAATGGTAAAGGAAAGTTCATGGAGTGGCCAAAATGGAAAGTGTTTAACCTCTGGGGGATTGGCACAGCCGGATTTCCTAACCAACCGAAAGAGCTGTTGACTGGTCCACTGGGAACACACCACTGAGGTCAAACTCGGTCCCTCTGATAGACTGCCAGGTCAAGTCAGGGCTCTGTATATTTGTACTTTGATCAGTGGTGAAAACACACGTTCCACTGCCAACTTTGAAGTGGGCTCTAACATTTCTTTCTTGCTAAGCTAATTGCTCATACTATATTCTATTCTGCAGATTAAACCACAGTGCCAGCAATAAATCTTCAAAGCCCAGGGGTGCAGACATTATTCAGCATTTTCTGCAGGTACCCAAACTTACCATAGCTTATTATAGTACCTTGTTAGTTGTTAGGGGCACTGCTGTGCTGTGTTGACACCCTGTGGGGTCATGAGTGGGTATGGCCTCTCTTGCGCTCGCGCGCTCTCACGCCCTGTGGGGTCATGAGTGGGTATGGCCGCGATCTCTCGCTCTCAGTTCAATTCAAATTAGCTTTATTGGCATGAATGTAACAACAACATTGCCAAAGCATCATATATACAACATAAGAACAATCATCCCCATTCACTTCATTAAACAAGTAATTAAAGCGTAAAGTAATCAAAGCGTATGTGTTGTTAAAAAAACAAAAGAAGAAGAAACATATTAAAAAATAAAATAAATGAAACAGTAAAAGTTTGTGTTAAAAAATATATATGTGTGTTAATATATATATATATATATATATATTATATATATATATATATATATATATATATATATATATATATGAAACGCTAACGTGTGTGTTTAAATCAATAGACAAATTTTTTTTTTTAAGAATAAAAAAGATCAGTATCAAATGTAAAAACAATGATTACTAAAATTTTAAATGATCAAAATAATTTGAAAATCTGTACAATTATTTGTTAGTCTGAGGTTCCACTGGTTGTCCTCACTTCATGGCATAGACATATTTTGCAGCAATTATTTCACATTTGGGCATTTCTCCCAGTAAATAGGGGCATTTCAGTGTCTGATATGAATTTGAATTCTGGGTATAAGGAAATGTTTACAAAGTGTTTTTGTCTTTGTTTTATATTTAGGGCATGAGGTTAAAAAGTGCAGCTCTGTCTCTACCTGTCCCCTGTCACTGGCAGCAGAGTCTCTCCTCTTGTGGTAGCCAGCTCTGTCTGTGGCGACCCTTTTCTATGGCCAGGCTGTGTTCACTCAACATTTTTCTTAATTTGGGACATTTTATTGTACTCAGGTAATTTGCCGGTGTGAATTCTCTTTAGGGTCAGATAACATTGTAACTTGTGTTTTGGTTGTTTCTTTCCAGTATTCAATATATTCTTCTTTCTACTTGCTGATAATTTGGTTTGGTTTGCTTGAGTTGGTGTTGCTGTCCTGAGGCTGTTGGGGACTTGTTACTGCAGAGAGTCTCAGGACCAGCTCGCGCTCGCTCTCGCTCTCTCTCTCGTAGAGGAAGCGCTGATTGCAGTAACCCTGGGCTAATTGCCCTGTAGAGTATTTGGTTTGTGAGTTTGGTTCTGGATCCATGCAACCATCATTCTGCACAGACGCTACTGAAACCACAGACTACATACAACATATTTACATACATAAACATACATAGTTATGTTAATTCGAAAAAACTATCAATTTGGCTTATTTTCGTTAAATAAACCTATGTTAACCGTTTACCATGGTGTCTCCCTTTTGTTGTGGCCTTTTGAGCCAGGTCATAACAGCTGCTTCACAAACAGTACCTTGACCAGGACAGACATTACATCTCATATCCCAAATTTATGGCTATTCATTCAGCATTGCTGTATAATTTATCTCCTGCAATCCAATCGTACAGCTACATTAAAATCTAATCTGTAGTGGATAAGAGCCCAGAGAAAGCATTAGTAAACTAATTGACTTGTTCCAGTTTCTCATAAAGTAGAACACGTCCCATAATACGTAATCATTTTAAAATGACTTCATTATACTGAGGATTTGCAGTGGCTTGTGTATTTATAATCAAAAGGTAATGTTAGGCAGAAATCGGTCAAGCTAGCGATATATGTGCTGCCAAAAGCAGATGATTATGACTCAGACATTACAAGTTCCAGTTAAGCATTGAACTATCCTAAGTCAGATTCCCCTATATGTGTTATAGCCTGGACAACCCAGCACTGTGGCTGTGGGAAGGGATATAATATAAGTCAGTGTGACTAGGGAGAAAAGACTATCATCTCACACAGTACATGTTGGGCTGAGAGAGCGAGAGAGAGAGGTATGTCCTCTGTCTGTTGATGTGCCTTTCTTCCTGATCCCCGCTGCCAGCTGCTCTCTTTCCATACCTTCAAGCAGATCCTGTGGTGGTATCAAGTAGCCTGGCCCAGCCATGGCTTCCCTGTTGGGAGACAGTGGGGGGAGGCTTTGATTGGAGCTGGATTTCCTGGGTGCCTTTTACAGCACTGTTTGACCCAGCCTCTGCCTCACTAGTGGGAGTTGGTGTTAAGCATTACTGCTTAACATGTCGGCCCTAGTGCTAATTCACCCACATTTGGATTGGGGTGTGATGTGCAGACAGACATCCTGGAAAAGGACTGGCAACATTGCTTGTGATAGACATTAATACATTTTCTTTCTACACAAAATGAACATTATTTTGGGAAATAAGATGTATACTAATCTAATATTTGTGTATTAAAAACATGTGGGTGTAACTTACCTTTTCCTGCAAATTCTGCAGAGACATTGTGTCTACATCCTGTGAGCCCTGCAGTGCAGGTCAGTTAAAACAGCATTTGGCGTCTTCTCTCTGGCATTGTAGGTCTGCCAGTACTTTCGAATCTTAGCTGGAGAATGACAGAGGTCAGGGTCGAAAGCATTAGCAGGACTACCCACCACCCACATTTTCCATAGCTAGCCCTCGGGATCACCTTTCATTTCTCTGCACTTTTTCTGCTGTTGTGTTTATCCTGACAGGAATACAGTGCTTTTCCCTAGTGACTAAACTTATAGTACTGATTCCTGCCTTCGTCATAATTCACAGTATTTCATATAAGGGCTTGGGAATGTCATTGTTATAATTGCTCAGCCAGATGAGGGAATATTATGACCTGAGAGCGCAGTCTCGCATTAGGTTAACAGATCAAATTAAACAGTTTATTTCTTGGTTAAAGAATTCACATTATATTTATACATACCTGATAATCACTTTTTTTCTGTGGATGCAGTCTTTATACAGATTACAGCATCTTTTAAAATGTGTGTGTGTGTGTGTGTGTCATATTTGACAAGCCCCTCTATTAAAAGTCAACTTTTTCTAAGGGGCTAGTCTAAAAATATCCCACATACAAATCAACACATGTGATCTGGATACTACAGGAGCACTGGGTACAACACTGTACTGTTCTAAAGTTACACACTGGCAGTTGTTCCCATTCTTGGCTCTGTTCCCTCTGATGTCCGTTTACTGTGAGCTGCCTAGCAGCTGACCACAAGTCTTTGCTTTCTACATGTAAGCCATTGTTTCCGGTCAAGAATGGCTGGTGCAAGTCCTACAATTCCACACATACATGGCACTCATATGCTCACACGTCATGCCATGCCACAGAAAATGGCACTATCACACACTACGCAGTCATTATGTCCTGCTTTTAAGACAAAATAATAATTTCTCTTCCTTCCTTCCTTTGTTCTCAGGCTGCAGATCGCCCAGGAGGAGCACCGTACAGTAGAAGTAGAGAAGGTGAACCTGGAGCAGAAGCTGAGGGATGAGATCAACACTGCCAAGCAGGAAGCCCAGCGACTGAGGGAGCTGCGTGAGGGTACAGAGAATGAACTGAGTCGCCAAAAGTACGCCGAAGAAGAGCTAGAACAGGTACTTTCAAAGTGGTAAATGTGATTTTAAACGCTTAAGTTCAGCTCAAAGGAGAAGCACTGAAACTGAGTGAGTAGTGTTTTATGAACTTCCAAGGTGGCAACTGCACAATATGTTAGGTCTATCAGATTTACACTGGCTATAGTGTAAATACACCCACTGATGTCTTTGTCCATTAGGAATTTGGCAGGAACAACCGAGCACAGCCCACACAAGTAAGCAAAACACATGAGTATTTGCTTGAAGGTCTAATTCACTTTTGTCAGTTTTTTTTTTTTGTTTTGTTTTTTTTGTTTTTTTTTCATTCAGAAACAAAGTGTAGTTTCAAGACACTTCATTTCATGTTCAGTGGTCTGTGGCAAGGACATCCACCACTTACTTACAGTTAGGAGGCAAGTGTTGAGATCCATCCGTCCTTAACTATAAACATGGTTTTAATGTATCTTTGAGTTTTCGAGTATTTAAGAGGGTGGGGTGTGTGTGTGTGTGTGTGTGTGTGTGTGTGTGTGTGTGTTTATAAACATTATTACAGCAATTAAGAAAATAATTTTCTGCAAGGTGTGTGTGTGTGTTGATTATCAAAATGATAACAATTAAGGTTTATTTAAAACGCAGCACATTCATGTCTGTTTATCATACTAATCTTGCATTTTGGTTGCCAAACTTAACAGAACTTTTGTAATTCTCTTGTTATTACAATGTTAAAAATCAGAAAAATAAAAAAAAAATGTTGTTTTGATAAAATAAAGTTTGTGGGTGTGTTGTTTTTATGTGTTAGTTTGTCACCTGAAGTTTATCTTTATTTGCAGGTGCGCATGGCATTGAAGAAAGCAGAAAGGGAGCTGGAGTCCAGGAGTAGCTGGTCACCACCAGAGTCTCTCCAGAAGTGGCTGCAGCTCACCCACGAGGTGGAAATGCAGTACTACAACATCAAGAAGCAAAATGCTGAACGGCAGCTCTTGATGGCCAAAGAAGGGGTAAGCATACAAACGCCTAAAGGGAAAACCATGCTCTTCATGGTAGTTCATGTTATTGCTTTGATCACAGACAAATCTATTAAATATATTCCAAATTAGCTATTTTACAGAGTCGAGAGACCTAAGATTTGAGACTAGCTTGTCCATAATATCTGAACCTGAGAAATTGGGTGTCTATTTCAGTTGTTAATGCATTAAAATGATTGTAGTCGAAATTAAAAAAGCCTCTTAAGTCATCTCGACTATGGTCTTGTGAAACTATTCATGTCCTTGAACATGAATAGTTAGTGAACTCTTTGGTCTGTATCTGGAAATTGGAGTCTCCTTTAACATGGTGTGTAGATAATGTCAATACAGCAGAGATAAGTGTTTGGTTATTTGTTTTCACAGGCAGAGAAGATAAAGAAAAAGAGGAACACACTCTTCGGGACTTTTCACGTGGCTCACAGCTCCTCCCTGGATGATGTGGACCACAAAATACTGGCAGCAAAGTAAGTCAGATTGTAATGGTAGAATACTTGTCATAGAATTTTTTTAGAAAACTGGTTAAAGCAGCATTTTCACTTGGTAAAAAAAGAAGTGGCATAGGCCCTATTTGGACAGGATTAACGTTACGGGGGAGGAGGAAAATAAAATATTAACTGGAGTGAAAAATACCCACATACACATCCAGACGAGATTAAAAGACCACAGGTAATATTAAATCTCCCCCACTTCCCAAAGAGAAGTAAATCCAGTCTGAATGGGGCTTTAGACTTTACTTATTTCAGATTTTGATTTTCATATATTAATTAATAAGTTACTTAATAATTAATAAGTTACTTATTTCTCAATCTCCTACTTTCTCATCTTTCGAAGACAAGCCCTGGGTGAGGTGACGGCTGCTCTGCGGGAGAGGCTTCACCGCTGGCAGCAGATAGAGATCCTCACAGGTTTTACCATCGTCAACAACCCAGGCCTTCCTTCTCTGGCATCAGCCCTCAACCTTGATCCCAGCTTCACGGGCGGCAGAGCGACACCTCAGCACTTCATCATGTCCGACGACATGGACGACTTGGACGAGGATATCGTGCCTGGAACTCTGCAATGTAAGAGTTCATCTGAATCTGTCGGCCTTTCTGTGGGGATTAGCAAACGATCCCCTAAACACTCCAAGACCTTGCTGGGGAAATCCAAAAATCAGCCCACATGAGAATTTGGACGTTTTTGTGCAACAATTACCTGAATTTGTTCTTGTGGCCTCGCTGGTGATGTAGGTAGTGAGGGTCACACGTGTCTGTGATTGAGTGTTTTACATTTGTATAATGTGTATCATGTAAATTCAGATCATTGTCTTGTTCCTTTACACACACTTCCACTTGAATGCCTTTTTTGTTGGCATTGGTTCTCATTTGTGTTTACTTGCAACTCTCAGTCGATTGTGGAGACTGAAGCCCCCTGTGACTTTTCTCTGGAAATTGAACTGTCAAGAAAAATATACTTCTTAATGAGAACAAGTGCTGACCTATTTGTAGTGGTTGTTGTCCTAATATGTGCTACAGACCTTTTTTTTTTTTTAATCTGCTTTTGGACGAACAGTTGCAGCCACAGGAAACGGGTTATACGCAGTCAATGCCCAATTTAAGTTCTTATTCAGTTTGAATATGAGACACACAAATACACAAAAGCTGTATGAATTTTTTAATGAAATTATGTTCAAAAACGTATTTTCTCTGCAGAATTCTTGGGTAACACATCTTGCATATCTTTACCTCATCAAGAAAACAAACAAGACTCTGACGATCATGCATTGTAGCCGAGTTGTTATGGGCTCTATATTTGCCTTATTATTATAGCAAAACTTGACATGTTTTTAGGTTTGGGTTTGACTAACTACAGGCGAAAGTTGTACTGCAGAGTCCTTTTCCAACAGCAATAGTGAGTAAGTCTTTAATCAACATTAATTGCACTGCCGATCTCACTCCCCTCTCTCCCCCCACCACTTTTCTGGCATTTGGCTTCCACTGCTGTCTCATTGGCCTAACTTCAGATGGCACCCGACTGTTGGAACGACGAGCAAGTGACCTGTGGTCCGTCGGTTCAGACTGTCAGCCCATGTGGAAATATCCGGGTTGGCCATTTATTCATGCCCCAGTTCAGTCCCCATTTGACATCCCTGTCTCTCCCCTTGACTCAAACCACATAGAGCTATACTACTTTTTAATTGGACATTTTGCTGACGGGGAAAAACTACTCCATGCTGCATTCATCTTAAAAAATCACCTGACCTCACCTTAGTTGCTTGCATGTCACATTTACTCCCTCCTCTCGGTGCACCCCTGTTTTATTCCCATAGTGTCACTTTTATTTTTAATGTCAATCTCTTATTAGTTTAAACAAAATATCTTAGTTGGTAACACCATCACCGTTTTCTCCTTTTTCTTTTGTTTGATTTAATATATTTCCTTGTAAGGAGGAGAGATAAGACGGGACTGTTGGGATTTTCACATAATGTAAAAATGGTGTGCAGTACAAAGCCTAAATTGGTAAATAGGATTTGTCTTTAAGACTCAAGTTTTAAGTTTGTTAAAGTCGAGAATTGTATCCCAACACCTGAGTATCTTTCCACTAATCTCCCTATCGGTCTCCCCTTGTCCGTCCGATTTGATTTTATTTGTGGTTGTTTATAATGCTGTTTTGTGCCCACAGCTCCCAGTATGATGTCCCTGCGCCAACGGCACATTGAACCCCAGCTGGCCACGGGCTCCCAGAGGTTGGTAGAGAGTTGCCTCTTGGCAGGGCAGCAGGGAGAGGGAACCCCATACCCGTCCAGGGCTACCCTCATACAGTCACGCAGCCAGTCGATTGGTCAGCTCGACTGTCTCCCTCTGCCTCCTCTTTCCTCAGCTGTGTCGCACCCTTCTATCATCTGTACCTCCAACCTAAACCCTCAGTCCCTGTCTTCCTTGTCCTTGTCGTCCTCCTGCTTACCCAGCTCTGTGGGTGCCACTGTAGCCCCTCATTCCTCCCATATATATCATGCTTCTTTCCAGCCCATGGATCCCATTCCTGATTTCTCCTCTTCAGATCTCTCAAAAGCACACTCCTCGCGCAGCGACAGCTTTGGGTACCCGTCTCTCTTCCAGTTTTTCACTCACATTGCATGTGCGTGGGTGTGGTTTTCACCACTTGCTGTCAATTTGTTTTTTTTAACCGATGTATCATAAAATAGGAGCCTTCTGTACATGTCTTTTATGTTGCTTTCACATCATTGCACCTGATGAGACATTACAAACTCTATGCAGTTACTCTTTCTTAACGTCTCTGTGTTCCTGGTGTTCTTTGCCTGCTCAACTAACTGTGTTGCTGAACTGAGTTCCAGTGCACACCGTGTTCATGGCTTTGCAGGCATTGTGTAGATAAACCCCAGCATGCAAAGCTTCAACTTTTAACTGTTTGGGTTTTTTTCTCATTTCATCTAAGTTGGGTTTTTTTTCCCCCACAGGGACCTAAATCGCTCTGACTCCGACTCCTCTCTGTCGCTCTCCCAAGTTGGTGATCGACTATCTGCCTACAGCTCCAAAGGCCACCTAATCAAGCCCACCGCTCTAATTCACGGTCTGTCTGGCCGTGCAGATGATGCCGTCTCACTGCATGCTCACACCCCCAACGGAGGGAACCGCATTCATGAGGTCAGTCCTACAGAGCCTGTCCCTGACAGCCCCATACTTATGAAGAAGGTGTACGGCATGGAGCAGTCACCCAGCATGGGAGAGATCAACAGTCTGTCAGAGTCGTCCCGTTCCCTCAGCCCCAACTCCACTGAACCTGACACACCATCGCCTACAGGAGGGCAACCAGGGGCCATAGGGGCAAAGGGCAGCACCCGTATCCCGCAGCTGTCCTCCAAGAAAAGCCCACTGGAGGAAGACAGTGGCTCTACAGGAGAAGACACAGATTCTACTGCCAGCCGCAAGAAACACACCTTCAAGATCTTCAAGAAACCGAGGAAATAAGGGCTACATGAACTACAGGCTATTAAAGCTGCTGTTTGACTGTATTCCTCTGGTCTGTTTTTGGGAGAAAAAAAAAAGTTTGTGGGGTTAATTAGTGGTCAAATGATGGCACAATGTTGCTGTTGCATCATTTTGTAGGTACAGCACCTACTCTAAGACACTGGACTGTGGGAGTGACCAGCTGTTCAGTTTTATCTGCTTATTTGGCCAATGTTGCTTAATTGTGGGGAATGGGTAGGTTTGTATATTGGAATGTAAAGTATTATTTATTCTGCAGGAAGTTGTGCCAGTCTCAAAGGGAAATGTGTCTCCCAGTTGGTTTTTCTTTCTTGTTCTACAATCTATAACATTTTGCATGTCTTCACTTTTGTTTGACAGATACTCGAATGCTCTTAGTGTTTGCTTGGTTCTTGTCGTTAACCTGCTTAGACAACACTTGATGTTTCTTTTATTACTACCTACATCTACCACTCAAAAGTGAATGTGCACTACTTTGTTTTTATTGGTGGTTATAAGTGTTTGTCTTTTGTGGTCATCTTCTTGGCAGAGCAAATGACACATCAAGGAGATCCTTAAACAGAAGAGGAGGAGTAGTAGTAGAAAGCTCAGAATATTAGTGACTCAAATGTTTGAGAGCAAAAGGTGAAGTTTGAAGTGCCATTTGGACACAGCACAACAATAGTAGCTACTTGGTCTGATTGAAACTCCATAGCAGTGAAATGCAGTATGGATTAAAGAAGATTGCAACATCAAATTGCATCATTAGACCTTTTACATTATTTTTAGAGTTTAGGTTTGAGTACATGAAAGAGAATTGCTTTGGTGAAATGTCCAGCTTTTAAACACCACCAACAAATTTAACTGCTGATTAATTTTACATGTATCTTCACTGGACCTGGAGGTGAACACGTGTTTGAAGAGCCTGGCTAAAATGTCCTGCTTGGGTGTAGGTATCTTTTAATTAGTAGGCAGTATTGTTACTGAGCACATAAATACCAAAATATTAATAATATAATAGCATAACTGTCTGAAAATAACAATGACAATGAACTTCCATCTGACGCTCACATTACATTGAAGAGGATACACTTTGAAGAAAGTGTAAAGTATACCCCATGAAAAACACAAATCAAAGACCTTAACACAAAACACTTAAATCACATTTTAATTGCAATTATTAAAGGTTTTTAAAGATTATACTCTTAATAAAAGGGATGATGTATAAATGGGATCCAACATTTTCCACTGATTATTAATGTGATTAATGAGGCACTTTAACTAGGATTTTGGTGCCTTTTATCTTCTAGCTTTCTGTTTCTGTTCTATGGTTATCTAGGTAGACATTTAAACCTTCACAGCAGTTTAACAGTGGGGGGTGGGTGCAGGTAAGGGCTATAGTTGTAAGTCAAAATCATTTGCTCTGAATAAGATAGACTTTTTCAAGTTGTAACACTTTGTAATTCACCTTTTATGGAAGATGTAGCTCAACAAGTTATGGAAGCAGAAGACCAGTCATGTTAAAGTTACTTTCAGAGGCCTTTGTGTTTATTGTATGTTTTTACAGACAACACAAAACCACACGATATACACCCAGTCTGTGGTGTATATCCTGAGTTTAAACGCTGAATGTGCAAGGATACTGCCACTGTAACAGTATCCTCAGTACAGCATGTTTACATTAGTTATGGATATATCCTCACAACAAAAGAACATTGTGCCAGTTTTAATATTGACGGCTTCAGAGCACAGAACTATGCATCAGTAGGGGTTTAGTTTAGATGATTACTAAAGTAGTAGGGACGCCAGTACACTTAGGGCGTTCCTGACCAACGAACAACCAAAAAGTGCTGCAATAGACACAGTGGGCCTCCCCCCAGCCTCATAATGTAACAGGTGGTTTGGATGTACTAGACATGTTTGAATATTTTATTTTAGAAACCAGCTAAAAAGTTATCACTTTTCTACTGGTACTTTTTTAAAGTGTCATTTGTATATCTTTTGCACGACAGAGCTGTAAATGGATGATTCCATTTGAATGTGTGTGAGTGTGTGTCTGTCTGCTCCCAGTATAATGCACTGTAATGTTGATGCATGTCAACTATTGTAACAAAACCTATATTGGGTTAGGAGGGTGGATCAGCGTAAGGTCTTTACTCCCCAACCTACTTTTTCTTTCTCTTTATTTTGGGCTTCAGTTTATGAATACATACAGTATATTTGTACAGAGACAATGATAATTTTGCATCTTCTGTGATGGTCTAGACTTTTATGGCACTTCTGCATGATAGCAATAAACTATTTTGAATGAAAGATGAGCTGATTTGTCTTGAACTTTACACTACATTCTTAACAACACTTAAGATTCCCATCTTAAATATGATTTTACAGAGATGGCAGTGCATTATATTGGCCCAAAACAAATAATTTGAATTTAAATGTGAATGTAGAAACTGGTGAAAGATATTGGTTTACCTTTGGTTCTGTGCTAAGTATTAGTACGCAACCTAACTCACAAAGCTCCACCTTAACTGTACTGTGTATATAGTGATTGGGTGGGGATATGTCCTGTTAAATATTTACCTATGCTTCATCATAATTGAGGTGGAGCAGGATGAAGTCCGGATCTTGAGGTAACTTGTTTCTTTGCAGCTGGAAAAAACCTTAATGGAGAGATTAATGAAAAGACTGTATGAGCCATGGATTTCCAGACACTACAAATACATCTGTTCTGTCTCAGTATGCAGGTGGGAGCAGGTTTCCCTTCATGGTCTCTGACATTCTGGTCCCTTCTGCTCTTGACAGATTTAATCAGCAACTATGTCCATGTCTTCTTCCTCATACAGATTGTCTGGGGTTTAGACCAGGTGACACTCCTGAATCCTCCAGAGGAGCCTCTGTCAGACCATCATTTGAAGATACTTTACTCTTGTGATGAACCTGCTACTGTACAGCTGGACTGTATTGTATCTTTTGACACTGGCATCATTTCCACACTCCTGCTAAGACGGTGGAGCTGCGTCCCCGGTGACCCTAAAATAAGAACTGTGCAGCTGAAGCTGCCAGATTGGTTGGTATATCAAGCTGATGGGATTGTTCCAGACTCCCAGTGGGTGCTAAGTTGTATCCTGCTAGCGTCAGTCAGATACAGTGGATTTGATGACATTGACAGGTCTGTTGCGGTTCAGGATGTTGCAACGTTGCAGCCTAAGCCATTTTATAATCGACCTGTAAAGCAGCATAAACTGTGCATTGCCTGGAGCACTGAAATGTTGCAGTTGACTCAACGGTTTTCAAAGAAACAGTGCCCTTTGGAGCAAGGTAAGATTAGGCAAGTGATCTTTAAAATGCACGTGTGGGCAAAGGGGCCAAAAGTCAAAAATGGTTTAAGTGTGGCTATGAAAAATTCTAAATTTCTTCTGTCAACATTTTAAAAATTGAAGACCATCCTCAGAAACAGCTATAAAGATGAATGAATTTAGGATGAGTCAACAATTTAATAGTCAAAATATACTTTTATTATCATAATGATATGATATATGTATATAACTTACGGAATAAAATTCTTCAGTTGTCCTGCAAACATCAACTTAAAAACTGTTTATGTCATTCAGAAACAGTGCATTTGCTGTCTTCAGTATATGCTTCAACTGGAGAAAGCTTTGGTATCACTAAGACACTTGACCCTTATAGCAGTGGGTTTCTGGAGTATCTGCGCATTAAAGCCATCTCTTTTCCATGGTAAGACAACAAATGTCACCCCATACACACAACCTAGCTTTACATTCTGTTAATGCAGATATTTATTAGTGTGCTTTGTATTTTCACCAGGTGTATGTTCTCCATCTGGATATTTGTGACCAGACACTGTCAGGGAAAAATGTGTGGAGTGTTTTACCATATAGACTCCCATAACAATTATGTCACACCAACATTGTTACTCACAAATTCAGGTATAACTGAGAATTTTCTCCCACCTCTCAGATATCCTGATTATGTAACAGTACAGTGCCATTATTCCGGTCTTACTTGAGCCTCTCATTGTTGCTAGGCCAACTACACATCCAGATGAATGGAGAGTCGGAGGAATCCTCTGCATTTCTGTCTCCATTCAGGGTGCCCTTAAATGAGTGGTGCCAAATCAATGTGATGTTGCAGGGTAGGATGGTGAGTATCCTCTTGTTGACAGAAGATATCCTTGCAGGATGTAAATTATGGTAATAATGAGACAAAGTGGTCATTGTCACTGCATCTCAGGTGACAGTATCTATGGTGTGCATGGATAAGGAGCAGAGGACGGTTCATTCAATGAAACATAAGTAAGTCTACTTTTGACATGACAAAGTCATAAAATTATATAAACATCAAAAACAAAAATGCATTTCCAAGTGTTCTGCATATCTGTTGTTACAGGTTGAGGCATATTGTCATGTTGGATGACACAGAGGGATATTTCGTGATTGGTGGAGGGAAATATATAAGAGGTGTGGAAGGTTATTATGGACCACTGGTTTACTACCGTAACAGAATATCACCTCAGAGCATGGTAATGTACTGCACCGGCCCACAGTTACTGTCTGTATGGACTGTTCACTACATTTGAGTCTAATCATTTTCCTCTTTTCCAGTCTGAAGTTGTTATTCCAGATGTTATAATGACAGTGAACCTGACTGGATGGCTGCAGACCTGTCAAGCATTTCGTCTTGAGATGAATGTGAAAATCAACGGCTATTCTCTCAAAGCCAATCAGAGAACAGAGTCTGGTAGTAGGCTTACATATCCACTAGATGGTGCTAAAAATACCGTATCTGAAGTATTTTCAAGAGCCTTCTGCAGAGCTGTTGATGGTAAAGAGAAACAGTCTTATGTTGTTGTTTTTTTTCTCAGAGATCTGTTTTGATGTTTTCCATGAGTGGACAGTAAAGGACAGACTACAATCAAAGTCACAGTGTGAGCAATGGGAGGCAACTGTCCCGCGCAGAAGACAAGCTGCAAAACTGGCCAGGTTTTTGGCTTTCAAACATAGTAAGAGATAAACTACTGCACAAAAAGAGTTTGACTAGCACTGGTACAAAATATCCAGGATAGGAGAGGATTGGAAAAATCACTCTATTCCACTGTCTGCATTATAGTGTATTCCAACTCTTAATGGAAGCTATTTGATTGTTTGCACCTACCCTTTACCCTCAAAACCTTTCCATCTAATGGAAATGTGCATCAGTTTACACACTTTTAATAAGATCAAACAAAGTATGGCTGCATAGCATGAGTTTGTCATGCCCAAACCACTTGTTAGTTATGGGGCTTAGATAACAATATACAGTAAATGCTTATTCTACTTATTATTCACTTATTCAATTGTTGTGTTATTTAACATGAAACTCTGAAATTAGTTAACTACCTTCTCCTTGCAGGAGAAAGAAGAGTTAACCTGGCAGCTGTGGGCAGGGCACTTTACTCCTTATCATGTCACAAGCTGAGCAGAGGACGCAGGACTGAAATGGTCAGCAAAATATTACCACTGCTGCTCCAAGCTGGCTGCTTAGCTGATAACCGAGCTCTGCACATGTCTTCGGTGCTCTACAGCAGTGGCCTGGGAGTAAAGAAACAGCCCAGTAAGGTGTGTGTTACTAGGTCAGCTATATTAAAATTATGCCTGTGGTGAACATGTCCAGTTTCTATATTCTATCATGCCCTTGTGTTTGGCACAGGCTTGGCTCCTGGCACTGCTTGCAGCCCAGAAGGATGATCGATTAGCACTCCTGCATCTTGGGCACCTGCATCATCAGGGTGTGCATGGCCTTTCCACAGACCACGATTTGGCCTATGCATATTATGCAAACATTGCTAAACAGACAACTTTAGACCGTCTTAATCCCACACCAGAGCAGGTAATGTTTGCAACTGGATGCTTTGGTGTACTAATTTTGCATATTTTGTCTAATCAAAAAGTAATGCATTTCTACTGTATGCTGTACCAAAAGCTTGTCATTGGAGCAGGACTTTGTGGGTTCTGTTTTTTCATCACTATCCGTCACTAAACCTATGTTTATATAAGTAAATATGAACCTTTTCTTGCCTAATATGCAGTGTAATTAATGGCACAATTTAAATGATCATAAACGTGTTTGCAAAAAATATTACAAAATATCAGAGAATAGTATTTGTACAATACATTTTGTCGTAACTAGCAGTGTCAGACATACTGTAATTGTAATGCGGAGGCTGGGAGGAAACTCATATGTAGCTTATTATATTAAATATTATTTTTAACATATGAGCTGATATGTGATATGGTTATACATTTTCTGCTCCCCTTGTTGTGGCTATAGTTTTCAGATTTCCATCATCAATAAGTTTACCTTTGTCACTGCTTTTCATATGAAGAAAGATAACAGTGTGATTTGAATTTGGTAATATTACAGTGCTCAAAAGGGGTTCACGTTTTGTTTAAAGCGCAGAGCACTGCTTTTACATTTGTCTTCTGTGTTTCTTTTTTTTAGACATTTGTTGAGGCTGTTTACTTAAATAATGATGAGGTGCTGAATCTCCAGACAGATGAAGACCATCATATCTTCCAGTGGCTGAAACTGCAGGCAAGCAGGGGAGCAGCTGAAGCTGAGGTAGCCTGTTCTGCCATCTCTGCTTTTTAAGTTGGCCATGTACACAAGCACCAAGAGTCACTAAAAAACATTATATATTATATTACAAATTTCAAGAAATATGGCGTCAGGTTTTAGGTTTGTGTCTCAAAGTACACTTTTTAGGGGTAAAAGAAAATGGCCACAGACACTTGAACAAGGTGATGATGTTTTATCCTGTCCTTTTTTGTAATGACTGTCTTGCAGCATGCCCTAGCTCGCATGCTGTTCTGGGGTCAGCAGGGAGTGTCTCCAAACATCCAGGTGGCTGTGAGGCACTACGAAAGGGGTGCTGTCAAGTGGGAAGACCCGAGGTCAATGTATGACTATGGCATAGTCCTACTGCAGGTCAGAATCACATCTGATGTAGAATCATATAGTATAGTAGTAGTGATTATCAAATATTAATTTGTTTCTCTTTAGGGGCAAGGGCTTGAAAAGGACATCCCAAAAGCTATCAGTTTTCTGAAGAAAGCAATGGAACAGGTTTTGTATAGTTAAATGTTTATTACTCCTTTATTATTAATTTATCTATAATGTAACATTAGGAAACAGCTTTCTGTTCCAAAAACCCATTCAAAGTTTGCACTCCTATTTTTACAATATTCTGTCCCACAGGGTTTTGTTCCTGCAATCAATGCCCTGGCCTGGTATTATGAGCAGATTGAGCA